TGGTTGCAGTCACTGGTGGTGCTGTTGCGGTGCTGACAGCACGGCCCCACGTCCAGTGGCTTCTCCGGCAGTGGGATCGCTGTGGGCGCTGAGTCTGTCTGCAGTGAGCCTGCCTGACTCCACGGCCCCCTCTTCGGAGCACATGGGCCCTCATATCTTGTGCTTGATGGCGGCCCCAGTGTTTCTGCTTGTTCCTCTGGCAGCGTGCACCCAGTGTGGGCAGGTCTTCTTTCCTAGAGCGACTCGGTAACCTGATTGCTGCTTGGTTTTCAACTACAGGAGCAAGCCAGGGCCAAAAAGCAGACACCGCCCGTGTCCCCCACTTCTCAGCCGGCTGCAGAGGAGCCGCTTTCCAGCCCTGTGTATGAGGTGGGCGTTTTCCTTTGTTTATAAGCGCATCTCTGGCTCTTTGTCAAAGGCCAGGCTCCCTTCGCAGAGCAGGAGCCCCTCCAGGCTCAGGCCCCGTGTGGATGCCGAGGGTCACCCTCACTCTCTGCTCCGTCTCCATCTCGGGGACGAGTGAGTGTGTGTGAGAAACAGACATCCCTTCAGTCCCTGGCCCTTCATGCTCCGTGCCCGGGAGCGAGGCCCTGAGGGTGGCGCCCCTCTGGCTGGTGGCCACGCATGGGCCCACATTGGCTGTGTCCTTGGGAAAGCTGTCCCCAGGGCTTCCCGTGTGTGCAGGCGGCACTGTCCATCTTGGCCCTGTCCTTGTTCTCTGACCACGGAGGGCTGTCCACGCAGACCCTGGCCAGAAACGTTGGTGAAGGCCACCACTGGTCTCAAGTAGCCCGGCATGTTCGCCAGGGCTCAGGGTCACTGTGATTGTCAGCCAAGTGGCGTTTCGCCTCGGATCTCCGCACACGTGGTTGTGAGTGGCGCCCCTGACGTCTGTCCACAGGAGGGTTTGGTGACAGCTGTGCCCGTTGTCCGTGGCTGGGTGTGGGGGCCCCGTCACGGGCAGTGAGGCTGCCTGGCCTTGGGGTTTGGGACCGGAAAAGAGAAATCCAGTGAAACCTACGCTTCAGCCCACAGGAAGCGCATGGCAGGGTTGCGGGTGCTCGTAGGTGCTGCTGACCTTAGTTACTACAGGACCCGGAAGTGGGGGGGCTGGATTCTTTGGGAGGAAATGGCTCATGTGGCCTTCTGGTCACACTCTGCTGTGATGAGGTCTCTGCGCTGTCAGTGGTGTGGCCCTCGCGCCCCTGGATCCCACATCTTTCCCCCGGGTCCTGGCTGTGATGAGGTCTC